GGAGAGGAGGAGATGGTTGCAAATGTACTTTCTCAGGGAGAGCAGCTCCATTCTACTGCAGCAGTGCAAGTGTGGGGACAGGATAACTTGGGAAGCCATGCTTGTTGAGTGTCACTGCCTGCCCCTCTCCTGTGTCATTTTAGATTACTTTAGTACAATTGGAGTGTAATTTTGGGCTTTCTCTCCTGTGTTACCTATACACATATGGCATCATGTGCTCATCAGTTACTGGCCTTGTCTGAAAACTCTTGGTGAGTATTTCCTTCCTTAAACATAACCAAGTGCCAGTCTGTTCTGGCACTTAAGCCTCAGGATCACCCTGGACAGGTAGGGAGGCAGTGCTGTCTACGTGTCCCATACATGTAACGAGAGGACTGAGCAGGGAGCAAAGAGTGGTCCTGGCTGTCTGAGCCCAGCCACCATAGCACTCTGCTTCTATTTGGGTTGCGAATGTTCTCAGGACTCTGGTGGGTAGGAGTGACACATCTCTTGATTTGTTACCCGGCAAGTAGCAGACGGCACTTGTTGGAGGAGTCTGGTTGGGCTGAATGGAGGCGTGATGGAGCTTTAGGATTTGATATTAGGGAGCAAGGGTGGATTCTGGCTTCTTTGTTTGAAGGTTAAGAGGCCCGCTCACTTCAGGCAACTGAGTAATGTGCTGCGGTAGATTTTTGATAGTTTCTGATGTTGGGTTTCCTTTCATGCATCACTCTCTTTTCTGAGTTGGTGCTTATAAGATGGATGTTGATGGATGTGGGGTGTGGGGTGAGCCCCATTGTTCACACCTCTTAACCCACCCCACCTTACAAGTTCAGGCACTCTTTATGGAACAGCCTGCCAGCCTCCTCTTTTCTGGTGCTAGGGAACACGGCCTTTGCTGGTGTGTCTCGCTCTTAGGCAGAGTCTCCTGGTCCTGGGCCTGCCTACAGCTGGGGACAGGCATGGTGGGTGCACATTGCCTGATGTCAGTCTTCACTGAGCCAGCATGAGGTAGGAAAAGAGAACGCTACATTGAGTTTTGTAAAGCTAGGAATAGGGTATTTTACTCATGACTATGATGGTCTACGTATGAAAACTCATCAACCCTCTTAAGTTGACTTTTTTCTTTCTACATATTTTAAAAATATATATGTTTTTAGAAACTTTAGATAATATGGATGGAAATTTAAGTTTGGACACCTAGATAAAGCTAAGAACTTTTCAGCCAGACTGGTTCTTGGCACACTTCCTCATTCACTTGCTTGGCAGAAGTGGATGGAGCAGGTGTTCTGTGCAGTGGGTATGCCAACCCAGAGTCCCAGCCGTGAACACAAAGACATACCCCTCCCTCACAGAGTGGACCCTGCAGTGGGCACACAGAACCTCCCCTGTGACCACACATCCCTGTGTGCCTTCAGGCTCCAGGCATGGGCGTGAGTGGGTGTGATTGGAGCTTATGACGGAGGTCCCTGTCGAGTGTGGGTGGTGTGGGAAGAATGTCCCAGAAGAGAGAGTGCAGGAGAGGTTGGTTGGGGATGAGGAGGCATAAGTTGATACATCCTTGCCCTTGGGTCATTGCCTTTGTCCTTACACTGTCCACACAGGCCTGTGACTCCTCAGTAGTGAAGTATCCTGGCAGTAATGGTGGCAGCCACTGAAGCTGATGGCATGATGGGCCTATGCCAGGCCTGGTGTATTATACCTGAATCCTCACAGCGTCAGGTGTGGGCTCTGTTTCCTCCGTATACCCGTGAGGAAACCTGGCCAAGGCCACACACAGCAGGGCCGTGCCTCCAGCGTCCAGCTCTGCAGTCAAGGGCATACCCTGGATGGCTCCCCTGGCCTCCCTCTCAGCTGGCATTGCATGACCATAAGGAGGCTTCCCCCAGGGCAGGCTCCCTGGAGCATGCTCCCTAGGGTGGGTTCTCCTTGGTGGGCCTTGTTGCCTCTGCTGTTTTCTTGTGCCTTGAGCAGAGCCTGGAATAGAGAGGGTGCTCACAACTGTTTGTGGAATGGGTTGGGCAGACGGAAGCCTGCTACTTTGTTGGCAGAATTCTTGTGATTGCCCCTGGCATCTGGGCAGGGGATGTTAAATTTTACATTTAGAAAGAACTGCCTTTTAAAAAGGGTACTTCCTTCTTTACCACCAAAGTTCCAAGAAGTCCTTTAGAGAGAGCAGGGAGTATTTCCTTCACTGATGTTTTTGGGCTCCAGCCACCCATGTGTGTGTGGGCCCAGGGGCTTATGGGAGTATTGTTGGTGTTTATGGGATTCTTGGGTTGCATCCTTGGTGAGCTACCCCAGGACCAGCGTGGTCAGATTGCAGATTGCGAGGGCCATTCTGGGGACAGTGTGTATAGTGCATCTGTCTGTCTGCTGCCCCTAAATGAGTGTCTGCCTCTGCCATTGGAGCAGGGACCATGTCCCTCTCAACACCTGCAGCACCCCAGTCCTTGGCTGACAGGATTAGGCACAAGTTGGTCATGGATGGGCAGAAAAACACACCTGATATTTCCAGCGAATGGTATCAGGAGGGGACTCTGTCCAGAGGAAAGAGATTCAGCTTGCTTTCACTAAGAGGGGCAGGCTCAGTTGTGCATCGTGGTGGCTTGGTGTGTCCCTTGCTACAGGTGAACTGTCAGGCCAAGATGATGAGACAGGAAACTACTTTTTCTGGCCACCCTCAGCTTTTGGTCGTAAGTCTCGGGAACAGGTTTTAGCTACTGTACTGCACTTTTGTACTTCTGTACGCAGGTGGCCGGGGAGCAAGGGTGCGGGGAAGAGACTAGTCCTTGGTGCTGTAGGCCTGCTTGAGCTTTGGGCATTGTGGGTATAGCCTGCTGATGCTCTCCCTTGTCTTCACTGGCTGCTTCCAGTCTACAAGGGTGTTGACTGCTGAACCTGCAGTACCTTGCAGCCTCGTGTCTCGTGGTAGAGTCTCATGCCTTCATGTGAGACCTGTCTTTGTCCTCTGAAAGTTTTGTGAGACTTTGTTTATTTTCTCTGCTCAGTACTTGGTGAGCCTTTTGAATTTGAGGATTCCTGTCTCTTTGCTCTGGAAATGGGCTGGGACTGCTCAGGGCTGGGAGCCATCACTCTTGGGTCATGCTGCCAACTGTTGCTTCCCAGATGCCTTGTTGTGGGCTGAGGGGTCTCTGCTGGAAGGGACTGTTTTTCTTATGTTGCAGCTGAGTCTGCCATGGAGTCCTGCACATGGTCGGTTTTCAGTGATGCTACTGAATGACAGGTGAGTGTCTGTTGATGAGAACTGTGTGGTGGAGGAGCTGGGATCCAGGAGGTGAAGACGAGGGATGTCCACAGCACACACTGTGCTTTATGGACGGAAGTGTGGAGAGGTATGGATTGGTGGTACAGTGAGGTGACCTGGAAGTGGGCCTTGGTGATTCAGGTCCAGGCCTGTCTGGGTCGGAGGAAGGGTGGGAAGAATGACTAGAGACTTGAAGGGCTACCCAGGACGATGGGAAAGGGAAGGCTGTCAGATGCAGGGATGATCAGAGTGTGTCTGTGTCTTAGCGGGGAAGGTGTCAGATCTTCCTGTGTGTGTATGTTTCCGATGTGGGTGCTGGGAGAGGGGATGCTGGGTGGGTGTTCAGCAGCTGTGGGCATTGCCAGGTGGTGTTGTGGGGAGGCTGCTGGAACATGATGACTGTGGGGGGGTATGAGGTGGGTAGGGGTCTGCTGGCAGGGGCGGGTCCCAGTTGGAGAAGCTAGCATGGTGCTTGCTGTCTTAGGCCCTTCTAAGAGTCCACGTAAGTGGGCAAGGTTCACATTTACTTCTGTCATTAATTAGCTGTGTGATGGTAGACCAGTTACTTAACTTCCTTGCACCTCCATTCCGTCATCTGCAAAATGGGAATAATAATAATACCTACCTCATGTTGTTTGGGATGATGTGAGTTATGTGTGGAGTCCTGAGAGCAGTGGTGGCCCACGTGGAGGTTGGCACCGTTGCTACTGTGATTTGTGATTGTTGTCATATTGTTCTTACTTCTCACCTTTTCTCTTCTCTGCAGTCATAGGACTCAGTTTCTCTCCCTTGTAACATATGTTTGTGCAGTCAGAACTGATTTATATTGTTGGCTAGTGCAGGGCCTGCTGCATCATGACTCAGGGCTAGGACCCCTTCTGCATCTTCAGATCTGGATTGCTGTCTGGCACAGGGCGTGTGACTGGAGGAGAATAGGGAAGTATCCTGGCAGTGATGATATTTATTTCTAGATCACCCATGAATTTTTAATGGCAAATGTGAGTGAAGGATTGATGATATCTAATCCAATGTGACGCCACATGTGGCTGAGATAGTCACACCTTTGCTTTCTGATGGTTAAGGGTACACACACCTTGTTTCATGCACATAATTATTAAACATGGTGTATAAAGTTATTTTCAGGCTATAGTGTATTTATGAAACATAAATGAATTTTGTGTTTGGACTCAGAATAGCTCATCTTGCAGATGTTCCAAACACACAAAAAAATTGGAAGTCCAAAACACTTCTGGTCCTAAGCATTTGGATAACGGGACATTCAGCTTGTGTAATGTAGCTGGTCATGTCTGATGAAAGGCGCCGGTGCCATGGAGTGAGTAGGGAGCTTTGTGTCGTGTCTCATCTATGCCCTTAGGAAGTTTTGGGATTTGGATGAACTACTTTGAGCATTTAGGGCCTCTTGCCATCAAAATGGGGTATTGAAGTGGTACCGGGAAGCGGAGTCCTGTATCTTCACACCCATAGCAGGTCAGCTTGGCAGGAATTGGTGCTGGAACAAGGTGGCAGTTGTAGGAGTTGCTTTCTACTTTAAAAGGACATTTCTTTGCCCAATTTTAAGATTTATTGTAAACAGACACTGCTGCTTCTTCATTTTGACATTTATGTGGTAACTGGAGACTCTTTTTCTATGATGCTTTTTATGATGAATTAATTGTCTTTTTATGTTTAGGCAATACCAGTGGGTGGTAGAAATATGGAATCTTTAATAATGAGCAATTTATTTTTCTTCCATAGAGCATTATTTCCAGAAGATATGGTGGCATCAAGCCTCCCCTGAAGTGTGGATCCAATGGAATAATAAAATATGCTAGTCCGAGAAGCACATCAGAATGTATAGAGCAGGAGAGACGGTGAAGCGGCCGCTGCCTGGGCCGGGGCCCCTGCGGATGCGCAGTGTGGAAGTTGCCCGGGGGAGGGCTGGCTACGGATTCACCCTTTCCGGACAGGCACCTTGTGTGCTCAGCTGTGTCATGAGAGGGAGCCCTGCGGATTTTGTTGGCCTCCGCGCTGGAGACCAGATATTTGCCATCAATGAAATCAACGTGAAGAAGGCTTCTCATGAAGATGTAGTGAAGTTAATTGGGAAGTGCTCTGGCGTCCTGCACATGGTTGTTGGTGAAGGCATTGGCCACTTTGAGTCCTGTTCCAGTGATGAAGAAGGGGGACTGTATGAAGGGAAGGGCTGGCTGAAGCCCAAGCTGGATTCTAAAGCACTAGGTATTAACCGAGCAGAGAGAGTTGTGGAGGAAATGCAGTCTGGTGGGATTTTTAATATGATTTTTGAGAATCCGAGCCTTTGTGCAAGCAGTTCAGAGCCCTTGAAATTGAAACAACGATCCCTTTCAGAGTCGGCTACAGCTCGATTTGATGTTGGACATGAAAGTATAAATTATCCAAATCCCAACATGCTTTCTAAGGAGGAAATCTCCAAAGTTATTAATGATGATTCCGTTTTTAGTATTGGACTGGAAAATCACGACGATTTTGTATTAGATGCAAGTATCTTGAATGTTGCCATGGTTGTGGGCTATTTAGGGTCCATTGAACTTCCTTCCACAAGCTCTAACCTGGAGTATGACAGCTTGCAAGCCATCCGCGGCTGCATGCGGCGCCTACGGGCAGAGCAGAAAATCCATTCGCTGGTGACAATGAAGATTATGCATGACTGTGTGCAGTTGAGTGCCGACAAGGCTGGGGTCCTGGCTGAGTACCCGGCTGACAAGCTGGCCTTCAGTGCTGTGTGCCCGGATGACAGGCGGTTTTTTGGGCTGGTGACCATGCAGACAAATGATGATGGGAGCCTGGCCCAGGAGGAGGAGGGTGCTCTGCGGACTTCCTGTCATGTATTTATGGTGGACCCAGACTTATTTAGTCACAAGATCCACCAAGGCATTGCTCGGAGGTTTGGGTTTGAGTGCACAGCAGACCCCGACACCAACGGCTGTCTGGAATTCCCAGCATCCTCCCTTCCCGTCCTGCAGTTCATCTCCGTCCTGTACCGAGACATGGGTGAACTGATTGAGGGTGTGCGGGCCCGTGCCTTTCTGGATGGGGATGCTGATGCCCACCAGAACCACAGTACCAGCAGCAACAGTGATAGTGGCATTGGGAACTTCAACCAGGAAGAGAAGAGCAATCGTGTACTTGTGGTGGACCTGGGTGGGAGCTCCAGCAGGCATGGCCCGGGTGGCACCTCATGGGAGGCTGCAGGTGGGAGGGCCACCCAGCCCTGGGGTGCCTCCTGGACAGGAGCCTTCTGTCATGACCCTGAGGGGAGTGCCCCGTTCGAGGTCGCGCCACAGACTGACAGATTCCGGGACCTGAACAAGCATTTAGGATTGGCCTCGCCCACGGAGATCCCCCCGGCTTCCTTGCGGAGCTCAGTGCCTCCTTCCAGGAGGGGCACTGCAGGTGCGGGCTGTGACTTCAGCCAGCGGTGGCTCCCAGTCCATGTGCTCCGGGAGTGGCAGTGTGGACATTCCAGTGACCAGGAGTCTTACACAGATTCCACCGATGGGTGGTCCAGCGTCAACTGTGGCACACTGCCCCCTCCCATGAGCAAGATTCCCGCAGACCGGTATAGGGTCGAGGGCAGTTTGGTGCAGCCCCCTCTGAGCGCCCAGAAGAGGGACTGGTCCAGGAAGGCTTTTGGGATGCAAAACATTTTTGGTCCCCATCGAAATGTTCGAAAGACTAAAGAAGACAAAAAGGTAAGGAATTGTTGTGCACAAATAAACTTGATTTTATAACCTAGCTAGCTGTTGAAATGACACACAAATTGCCAGATTTACTGTCCTGGCTTCCTCTGACTGACCTTGTGGCCTGTGTCGGTTGTCACAGGGTGTCTATTTTGCCTCTGTGTTACAGATTCTAACTTCCCAGGAGCCCTCAATCCCAGCCCTGTTTCAGTTGTCTCTCGTGCTGGTCCTGGCTCTGATGACCAGTCTTGGGTAGGACATCTGCCTGAACAGGTGGTGATAAGTTGATGTCTCAGAGCCCAGGATAAGTCCTTTCTCCCTCTTCCTACTCCTCCTCTGCCCCTTTCCCTATAGCCTCTTTGAAGCCCATTTTAAGTTTGACCCTAAAGTCTCCATCCCAGTGTCCGAGGCAACATTCCCTTTTAGAGTAAGAAAATTCTTGAAGCACAGAGATCTGGTTCACTGCAGGGTGAGGAGCTTGCCTCATATATGCATCCTTGTGCTGCTTTCTTTCTTTTTTTTTTTTGAGTTGGAGTCTCACTCGGTCGCCCAGACTGGAGTGCGGTGGCCGCTCCTGGCCACCATAGCCTCGCCTGCTGGGCTCCGGCGATCCTTCCGCCCGAGCCTTCCGAGTAGCTGGAATTACAGGCATGCGCTGCCACGCCTGGCTGATTTTTAAAAAATTTATTGTAGAGATGAGGTCTTGCTGCCCAGGCGGGTCTCGAACGCGCAGGCTCAGGCAATCCACTCACCTCAGCCTCCCAAAGGTGCGGGATTACAGGCTGAGCCTCCGAGCCTGGTGTGCTGCTTTCTTCATGGAGAAAATCCTGGTGAAAAATGCCTGGGGCCCGCTCCTCCTTCTCGCTGACAGGTAGGCCACACTGTGCATAGCACTGCCCCAAGGACCTGGACCCATCAGTACTCCTTTGAGGCCTCTGCCTTCCCTTAGGAGCTAAGTTTGAAGCATGAGAGAGAATGAAAATGAAACAAACAGGGCCCTTGGGAAGGACTGTTCTAGATGAGGCGGTGAAGGTCTGTGTGGCCAGATGTTCACTTCAGAGCCAGGGTGCATTTTGATGGCAGGGAGTCAGCACTCAGCTCCCTTTGTTTCAGAGAGACTCTTCTCAAAGGATGTTCACAATGTAAAAATACCTTTTCTGTGTGTGTTCACATTTTTGTGCTGAAAACGTCCTTAGAAAACCCTCCAAGGCTACTGGCTGGGTGGGCAAGGCCCGGTTGGAGGAGACGGTGTGGGCTAGGCTGAAGTGTTGACCAATGCTTCCCCTTGATTCCCCTTCCCAAATCCTCGTGTTTTCTCATTACGAAATATAGTACATGAAAGAACATTTAACAATGAGGAGGGACAGATTTCTTAAAACTTTACTCCCCAAAATGACCTCTGATGACATTTTGATGCATCTAAGCATAGATTTTTTTAAAAAACATAGTTGTAATGATACAGATTTTCAACCTAATTGTTAAGCAGGTTGCTCTGCAGCTGTGTGTGCTGCCATCCCCGACTTTCCGTGTCTCGGCATTCCGAGCCATGGGCCGAGTCCCAGGCTAGATTTTTGGGGTGGTGCCTGCCCTCCTGAGGCCTCATCTCGGTTCCCTGTGGAGCCCACCCATCGTATGATCAGGATCACTGCCAGGGAGCTGACCTCAGTGTGGTCTACCCTTGTTGGGTAGGGGTGGGGAGATGAAGGACCCTGGGAAGGGCTAAAATGTTCTTTGGAATCAAGAAATTCATTATCCCTTTGAATGCATATTTAATAATGTGTTTTCTCCATTGCCACTGTGTAAGTGAATACTTATACTGGTAGAAATGACTAGTATTTGTGTGGTTCTTTGTGGATTACAGTGCACCTTCACGTACATGTCCTCAAAGCTGAAAGTGACCTATGCGGTAGAGAGCATGATGCGCCTTTAGGTTATTGATGGTGGTAGTTATAATCCCCAGGGAACCTGGGAGACAGGTAATACTGTTGTCCCCATTTTACAAGTGAACTGACTGATCCTCAGGGCTTAGTGACTTGTGGAAGGTTAAGCAGTTGGGGATAAGCAGGGCTGTGATCTCAACCTTGGGCTGCTTTTCAGTGCTATCTCCCTTTGAATAGAAATGGGTTGAAAGTGAGGGTTTTAGCTGTTACTGCTTCTATGGAATTGGGATGTGAAGACACTGAAAAGTGTTGGAAAATCACAGTGCAGCATTTACCACTTAGCAGAGTGCTTCGTTACCAGGTAGGGGTTCTCTGAGATCTTCAGACCAGGTGGCTTTATTTTCATTTTACTGACCTGAAGATTGAGGTTATGGATATTAAGTGACTTGTCCATAGTTGGGGGAGGGAGCCAGTTAGCTCTGAGCCCATGACAGACCTAAGGCTCCATATCACCTCCCACAAATAGACTCCCCTATGTGACTTGGAGTGACTTTTATAATGTGATGTGACAACTGGTCACCTTACAATGAGTAGAAACATGCTATATTTTATGTGTTCCTGCTATAATTTCTTGAAGTTTGTATGTTGCTGTTTACTTTGCCAAATGGGTCTCCCTGGATGATTAGATCAGTCTGATCCCGTAGCCTCCCCCATTGGAGCAGCAGACTTTTCCAAGGATCATGAGGTAGCGGTTGGATGGGTTCTGATGTCCCTTCTGGCAGGTCTGCTGGGCCTCATCAGTGGTGGTGACTGTCCACAGTGACCAGAGCCACCTTCCCGGATGCTGGCCTGTGCTGGGCTAGAGGCTTGTCAGGCTCAGCAGAGGAGAGGTCAGGTGGGATGAAGGAACTGCCTGGAAATTGAAGAGGAGGAGTGAGCAGAGAGAAAGGAAAAGATACTAGAGACTGTAGGAATGTCAAATATTTGAATTTCATGTTACTCTAAGTTCTTCTCAGTGGTGACAGGGGCTTCAGTGCTTTACTTTGCACAAACTCGGACTGAATCAGTCAAGATCCAGCCAGGAGACAGAAAACACAGCAGTAATTTAAGTAGGGAAAATTTAGTATAAAGAATTATTAACTAGGGAGAAGATGTTGCTGCTCACACAGATAAAAGACAACACTAAGGTAGTCAGCGTGGAAAAGGCTGAGTTTGGAAAAGCGGATGTGGGAGAAACTTAGATGCTCAGAGGGGACCCTGTAAAGCTGAGACTGAGACCCCTGATGGTGGGGGCAGTGACTGCTACTGTAATGATGAGATCATGAGTGCTGTTACCACTGAGACTAAAGAAACTCATTGGCAGGAAATGGTGACTAACCCCAAGAGAAGTGATGTTGGGACTGTCACATGCCAGTCCACCCTCCACCACCTGGAAAGTAGTGCCTGTGCCTACCTGAATGCTGCGGTGCCTTGGTTGACAGAATTGAACATGGAGTAGAGGGGCTGGAGAGCAATGCGGTCTGCAAGGCCCAGTGCCAGGATCAGAAGCTGGGCAAGAAAGGGTGCTAAGAGCAAATACCTTGGTGACTGGTATGCTTTCATTTGGCAACCCAGCATCTGTGTGCCCCTTTCTTTGTGCAACAGCAAGCAGCACAGGTGGGCCTCCAGGTGGCAGATATTCTTTTTTTTTTTTTTTTTTAGCTCTCATTTATTTTGCGTTGTCAATCTAAAAATTCCAAATTATAAACTTGTATTAAGAAAACAATTCACAAAAGTTTTTAAAACTTTAAAAATTTAACCATAGCTTATTGTGCTAGTAATTTAAGCATCTTGTTACTATTAGTATTTCTGTAAAGTATAGTTGCCAGTATTTTGAAAGTTGTCAGTAACTCAGTTCATTATTTAGTATTATTATTATTGCGGTTTGGGAAATCCAAAAGTCTGGAATTCACAGGTATGAAGTCAAAGAATCTTCTGAAACTTGTTTGGGGAATCTCATGACAAAGCAGTCCTGTGTACCTACAACTTGGTGTATTACTCCTTGTAACAGAAGTGGTTTCTTCCCATCATTCCTTTCCCCTATTTGTGCCTATCACAGTACCTAACATATTGTAGTACAATCACTGTCCACCTCTCACTACCTTCTTGGCTGGGGCATTTTACCTTACTTTTTGTGCTTTATAGAACTTTGTATTCAGAAGGCAGATATTCTTTAAGGGGGAACACTCTCCCTCCAGCATAGTCCCAGTGGTGGTTGTTACTGTTTGCTGTTGAGTGACTTTTCTGAACTGGTCCTGTGAAGTGGATTCTTTGTTATGTGGCTACAATGTCTCTGCTTGGTCAGCTTAGTGATCCACTAATAACTGGACAGAGATTCTTTAGATGCCTTGGCAGTCAGTCTTACACTCTTGACTGAGAGCTCTGTATCCATGTAGGGGCATACCCTCGACTTTCAGCCAGCCAGTTGACAACTCTGTCTTAGCCTTCACTTCCTTCTCAAGGTCAGCCATAGGTGAAAATGTAGTGCTCTCCCAGGGCTTTCCTGAGCATGTGCACAGCCCTGCAGTGGCCTTCCAAATTCCTAGAAATGTATTGAAGCTTTTAAAAATTCCCTAGAGGCATCTCATTCCCCAACTTTTCCTTTTGAGCTCATCTTGGCCTGCCTGCATCTAGATAGGGGCCGAGGGGTGTTCCCGTGACTGTGCAGCAGCCCTGGACTAAACAGCCCCACCAACTCCTCCACCCAGCACACCATGTGCAGTGTGGTGTGAGGCCCAGTCTTGGGGAGAGGCCCCTGCTGAGGGTATTTGCTTGGGAACTTGCTGTAAGCTCTGGGATAATCTTCAGGGTTCTCTGTACACAGTTATTGTTGCTTCCATGTTGTACATAACAAATCTATATTGAACATGTCCTTTTCGGTTACTGCCTCCAACCTTTCTTAATTCTGTGGGTAAAAAAGCTATTGGAAAAAAATATATTACTGCATTTAGTCACCAGTAGGTCTTGAAGTCCAACAATTCTGTTTCAAAACTTTCACTAGATTCTCTTCATTGTTTTCCTCTAGCAGTGCTTTTGCCACTGCCTCCTTGATCCTGTTGTGCCCCAAGCTCAATCAAGCTTTCCACTCTCTGT